AACAAAATAAAAAGAAGTTTCTTGTAAGTCAATCTAAAAATCTCTTTTTATCAAAAAGACAAATCAGCTTGGAATTACGTACGTTACTTAAAACTATTTCTTCAAAAAAATAATTTCTCAGATACGTGTAACGGTGAAACTTCATCCAGCTTAATTAAATCGGAGTTAATTCAGAGAAATTAATTCAGATTTCCATATCGATGGAACCAATAAAAAATTGACTAAAACTGGTGCATTTAGAATTAATCGATGATTTTGAAGTCTTAGACGAGAGATGCAACCAGAAAGATCAAACTCAGTAATTTCTAATGAAATTACGCGTCGGAGTTTATGGGAATTATTAGGAACTGCTTGCATCTTCCTCTTCGCTCCGCTCATCGTAATTGCTCTGCTCCTTCTATACGTCTATCGTTGTTTGGTCAAGATCGTGTTAAGAATCCAGTTGAGGAACAAATTCGCTGGTCTCTTAAAGGGCACGGATTGTGTGTGGGTCGTTGAAGATGCCGTTTCTCTGTGCGTTATCAATATCTTGATGATACTGGAGAAGACCGCGGGGAACTCAAACACGGTCTTCCTGGAGGATTTCAGGAATCTTATAAATAACCGCATTGTTTCGAAGGCTGCTGGTACAACGCTCGAGAAACTGTTCTATCTTCGGAATCAGAAGTTCGGCTATTATTTTTGGGAAAGAACCGAAGAGGTAGACCTGAAAGACAGGATCAGATGGCTGGAATGTGTGGACGCTAACTGCGACGGGTCCTGCGAGGATATCTCTGGCGAATACTTCAGGAAGACTTTGGAAAATGTGTTTAATAAACCGTTGCCCGATGATCACAGAGCCTCGTGGGAGATTCTCGTCGGAAAGCGCTGTCCGAAATCCAAATCTCATGTCGAAGAGACACATGTCAACACTCGAAAGATTCCCGTGGTATTTCGCGTTCATCATTCCCTGGGCGATGGAATGGCCCTTCTGAACCTATTGCTCAAAACGATCGCCAAGGAGGACGAAATAAAAGAGACGAGTATCATCTCGTCAGGTGAGAATAAAGAACATTTCAAAGAGATCGTTCCAGCATTGAGCAATTCAGAGAGGAACTTCCAGAATGGGACGAATGTTGTGCGATTTTATGAGAAGAATATCTTTGCCACATCCATGCCTTTTGCTTACGTAACGTTCTCACGAGTTATGCAAGACATACGAGATCATTTTCGTGCGTCGTTGAAGTTTTCTGATAATGTAACGATCGAGTCGTTGAAACAGAAAGCAAAAATGTCGATCAATTGTATATGCAGATTGAATTTCAAAAATATCGCACTGAAACAAATGTACGGTAGATTTAAAGAGGTCACTCGATTCACGATGATTTTACTTTCTTCTCCAAAATTCTTCATTCAACATGCTATTTGTAGCATGGACGAAAAGTACGTTCAGTATTCAATTCACTGTGCAATTAATATTTAGCTCATCCTGTTAAACATAGACAAATTAACATGTAAGAGATTAATTTCTTTGTTAAACTGAATGTCTAATTTTCGAGAAATAGTAAACCAATAAACGGTTAAAATCTCCAAATTAAGAATCTCTTATTTCAAAGACTAGAATTTTATGATTTTACGAGAAACAAATTCTTATCAGCTCTATATATTTATCTTTAATATATCTGAGTTATATGTAAAATAGTATTTTAAATAAGCTTTGTAATGATAAATATAAACATTTTTACAGCGCTCTACATGGTCCGCCTCAAACGGGTGAAAAGATAATATCCTACTGGTTAGAGAACGATGAAACTAACAATAAATCGCAGAATCTTTTGACGAAAATCCGCGAGATAAGAAAAAATACAGGTGCCAAATTTGAAGATATAGTATTGGCAGCTTTTTCTGCTAGTGTACACAAATATCATTTACGTGTGAGTATGTATAAAGCTTTCAAGCAGCAATTAGTCTCTGAAATATGTTTAAATAATATCTAGAAAATTGAAAGGTTTTTTAGACACTTACCTATATCTCGTATCTGTTTCAAAGTTCTTTAAACATGTGTTTTTCTTGTAGATCAACAAACCAGTTCCCGATGCATTAACAGTTATTTGTCCCATAAGACTATCAATGCCCGATAAAAATTTAACCTTAGATAACGAGTTTTCAGTCGCTATCTTGCGAATTTGTATCGCCAATGCGAACGGACAAACAATCGTCGAGCCAAATCGGGATTCTCAATTTTTCGAGCGCCTTCAAGATATTACAAGAGCAAATAACGAAGTCAGAAAGAGTTTAGACATCATGCTTAATTTTTGGTTCATAAAATATCTGTCAGCGTTATTACCGGTGAAATTTTTAAGGGCTTTTCTTTTAACTCGAAGCACGATGGTGTTTAGCAATATGTGTGGGCCAGAAAAAGTGCGTATCTTGAATAATTCTTTGAGCAACATTGCCTTCTGGGTACCAAACAAGTATCGTATCGCTAACAATGAGTACCGCTATTATTATAAACTTTGTTTATAATAATTAACAAATAAAATTATTGTACATAGTAGCGATATGTAAAATGTATTACAATTTCTTTTCAGAAGTACTACCGCTCTCGGCTTTGGTCTGTTAAGTTACGGAGGCAACTTACATCTATCTTTAATGGCTGATAAGTCAATCGTAAAGGACGAGAGATCTTTTATGGAGCTTTTAGAAAATACTGTACATGAAATAGATACTGCTTTTAAAGCCGTCAGATCTTCCAATAGAAACACCTACGAAAAAAGGTGCGCAACTTGAATTTTTAATTATTCCTACATTTTGTTTATACGCGCATTCGATATTCATTTAATAATTATGTATAAATATTATCTTATTCCCAGTATTCCCAGCTATATATATTTATAAAAGGAGTTCCATCTATTTTCAGGCATTGGAGTGTTTCAACAAAGGAGTATGAGTGATTGAAATATTTTACCTCTTTTATACAATGCTCTTAATGTGAATGCATTTGTGCTAAGTATAAATTGTTATCATACATTTATTAATATAGGTTTTTTACAGAATCATTTACAGAGATTAATGATTTAGTCTTTTCCGTGAATTTGTTTAAAACTGTATTTTATAAATAAAGTTTTTCAATCTGTAATTTGTCTTTAAGTGTATTATGTGCCTGTCAGTTAAAGAATCCAAAATTATATTTCCATTAATCAACTTAGTATTGTACAATTTATTTAATTT